AAACATCTTCCTCGCAGCAGCGCAGGCAGCAGTGTCTGCCTGTGTCCACAGAGGGGATGTCCTAAAGCCACCCGTGGGAACAGGGCTGCACAAGATCCAAAGGCGAAGACCGCCCTTCATTTTTTTGCTGTTTCACATTCTTCCACTTGCCCACTTTCTGACATTAATTTCTCTGCATATTCCTGGCTTTCTTCCTCACTATATTTTTTCATCCTGCTTAAGAGCCTTTCATCCTCCCTAAGAAGCTGGAGTGTGAAAAAGCATCTATTTAGGCTCTTTACCTTCTGCTTGTGTTTGCAGCTACTATAATTGGTCTCGGGCATGAAAAGGAAGATGTAACTTATTCCAAAGGTCACCACACCACCCCTGAGGCAGGTGCATGTACTGGATTGCCAAATGTTTCCCTTCCATTTTTGCCTATTTTGACCCCAAGAGTGAGAATGAACAATTTTTAATTTTTTTTTTAAAATTGTTCTAGTCAAGTTTGAGAAAAAAGCTAGGGTCAGATAGAGAAATAACTAACCAGAGGTTATTGAATAAAGTACTTACTCGTGACTATGTTTTTATATTTCTTAAACATCTTTTCTTTAAATGGCCTGCTTTTTCAAAAATGTTACACTAATGCTACTTAATATGCTTAGCTGCTTAAATAGGATTTGAGACATTGGATAATATATATTTGAATGTAAATGCTTGATAATTTTTTACTAAGCTGGCTTACAGAAAGTCTGGCATTGCAGATAATGAGGTGATAAATCAGACTGCTAATAGAGAATGCACAGCGGCTCTCTCAACCACAGGCACTCAAGTACTTTCCCACTAAGTAACAGCAAATATCTCGGGAGAAAGTAACAGTGTAGTATCCCATTCTACCTCCTGGGCAGATATGAGCACATCTTTCCCCTGACAGCTATACTACTGTAGGCATCAACTTCATCTTATACTTGTTCATACTCCTGATGATACCTAACATGCCAAAAATGTATATAAAAATATAGTAAGTTACCTTTTTAAAATCTCACTTACTCTATGACCCACATCATTTGATGAGTTTATGGACAACTTGAGTCAAGGATCTACCAGAACCAGAAGGGGTTCCCACTGGTGTCAGGATCTTCTATTCGAGTACAGAAAACTCAGTAGCTTGGACAAAGAAAGACCTGTAGAGACAGACCTTGGGTGTACCCCCTGGCTGGACCCTCACCACCTGCCAGTCAGGAGTTTCCTCAGTCAGGTTATCATGACTGGTCCTCTCCTCCTGCCTCTCAGCTTCTTGTAGGCTATTCAAAGAGTGCCCTCTGCAGGATGAACTGAGGACTCATAAGAACTTAATTCATTTCCTTCAAATGACAGGTGAAGAGTCTGTTTCAAATGTGTTCAAGAGCTAATAAGCACAAAATTTAAGTTCAAGTTTAATGAGAGATAATGGATTGCTACATTCATTCTTCACAGCTATCATTTATATTTATTTAAATAACTTCATTAAATGTCTTTACCCCAAAGGGTAACCAATGGTGAGAATCGCAGGTGCCCCCCATCTGTCTCAGAGTGGAGACAGATGTGTTCCATGGCTCTCTGCTACACCTCCACCTCTCCCTGCATAGCCATCTCTGCCGGAGGGCTGGTCCTCCCTGCAGAGGGCAATTTCCAGGAGCTGAAACACATGCCAACAGCTCTTCCTGCTTTGATTCAAGTCCATGTTTTAAACCTGAAAACAGAGAATGGGAGCTCAGTGTTCCCTTCTCCTGTCAGCCTCAGGTCAAATAATCATTGAATCATAAAGCGGAAAGTGGTTCCTTCACTGAACCATGATCCTCCACAGGACCATGAGGAGCGATGCCCCAGCCTCCTACTTCACACCACGTGACACCCTTCCTGGCCGTATCTCCTACCAGCACCCCAAACAACAAGGAACAAGCTTCTCCACTATCACTTAGTGTCACTGATCTCTAACTAACTCAAGAATTATCCAACTCCTGGTTAGATCCACTCCTCTCCTCCAGAGGCGCTCACCTGACTGAGAACAGAAGTGAGAGAGAAAGAGAGCACCCTTTCCTGCCTGGATCTCCCCCTTCCTCACCACCCGAGTGTGATGATCACATGCACAGAACAAGGCAGGGCTGAGGTAGGCGGCTACCAATGGTCATCTGCCTTTGCCGTGGTCATAATTGGTTTTCCCACGTGGACTACCAATTCCAGGATGCTAGGCAGCCCCACTGCCCACTCTCTCCCGCCGAGTGGAAACAAAATAGGATTCATTTCTAGACCAGTGGTCGCCAACCTTTCAGACTTCATGGACTACCAGTTGGCGACCGCTGTTCTAGACTACAGGACCCACCCATCTCTAGAGCCCTACATACAGCACAATGCGGCGACCTCGTGGCCCCTGGCTTAGGTATTCCACAGCTGCTATTCCTCTTCCCAGAGCAAACATTCCTCCTAAAAGCAGAGCCTTGGGGAAGGTAGAACGCTTCCTTCTTTCTCACCATCTATCAGAATCCAGGGAGAAGTGGATTACACCAAGAGATCAGTAGTTGTAATACATGTCAAACAGGATGGCCACAGCAGCCCCCTCTCCCATTCTTGCTTTTTGCTCTGCATTTTTCATGAGCAAACGGGTACTTGGAAATGAGTTTATACCCAGTTCTTATACCTCAAAAGGAGAGACAGCATGGAGTTAGGTAAGAACACGACTGTGGAGTCAGATGGACCTGGGTTTGAATCCCAGCAGGATCCCCACCAAGCCAGATGACCTGAGCACACTGAGAACTTTCTGAGCCTTCGTGTCTCTTCCACAAACAAGGCCAACACCATCTGTCAGTCAGGAATGGTGGGGTGTAAAATACATAATGGAAACAAAAACTTAAAAAAATGTGTGCATTCTTCCTCTAGTATGAATGTAAGTTAATGTGTGTCTGGTACTATGTGAAGGCATTGTCCCATGTGAAAGGCATACCAGGCACCAGTGAGAATGCAAAGGAGCAAATGGGAGGAATGGGATTAACGTTGGAGTGGCTGCCAGGCCTGCCTGGTTGTAAAAACACATAAATGACAGCTCCTTCATGAGCCTGAAACCAAGGCTGTCATTGCCTGTGAGGCTGCAGCAGGAAGGGATGGGCTGGGTCAGGGCTGGGGTGACTCTGAGGACGTCCTCCCTAAGTGAAGAGAGGCCGAGGCACAAGACAGCCAAAAGCCAAGAGCCTCAAAGCTCTGGGATGGCTCCATTCCAACAGATTAGCCCAGGTTCCACCCCCCATTCTCAGCAGACAGGGAGTCCAAATGGCCCTCTCCCATCTTTTGCCCCTAACAGGCTGGAGAGGCACCCAGAATGCCTGGGCACCCAGATATTTTGGATCTGTGCTACATCTTGCCCACAAAGGCACACTGGCCCTGTGTCTACACTATGCTGGCATAGTCCAGCTAGTTCTGCAGAAGGTCCTTGTGTAGCTACGAGGCTTCTTTTTGTTGTTGTGGTGGTGGTGGTGGAGGTGATAAAATATACACAATGCAAGGCTTGTCAAGTTTAGAGGTATTAAGTAGATTCACATTGTTGTGCCACCATCACCACCATCTAGCCCCAGAACTCTTTATTTTGCAAAACTGAAAGTCTGTGCCTATTAAATAATAACTCCCCATTCCTTTTCTGCCCAGCTCTCTCCCATTCTTTGCCCCCTAACAGAGTAGAGAGGCATCCAGAAGGCAACCACCATCCTACCTGCTGTCTCAATGAATTTGACTATTCAATAAATTTGATGACTTCACATAACTGGACTCATACAATGTTTGTCCTTTTGTGACTGACTTATTCCACATAGCATATTGTTCTCAAGTTCAACCATGTTGTAGGATCCTTCTTTAAGGCTGAATAATATGTCATTGTATGTATATACCACATTTGGTATATACATCTATCAATGGACACTAGCACACTTTTGGCTACTGTGAATAACACCACTATGAAAATGGGTGTACAAATGCTTTTCACTTCCCACCTTTTAATTCTTTTGGGTATATACCCAGAAGTGGGATAGTTGAATCATATGGTAATGCTATGTTTAATTTAGTTTAGTTTTCACAGTGGCTGCACCATTTTACATTCCCACCAGCAGTGCACAACTGTGAAGCTTTATTCCGCAGGTTGGGTCTAATCTACCTTCATGCACCAGGTTCAGGTCGCTGCTGACATGATCCCTTCCCAGCTGCCCCTTCCCGCCCTGATTCTGAAAAGTCTTATTCCCCCTGCAACTGATCACACTTGACCACACATTTCATCTGGAAGATGGAGATTGTGAGGATCCATTTGGAATTTCCCCAAAAAAGAAATATAAGGGAGTTAAAATAAAATCTTGGGGGTGGAGCCTCAGAACAAAAACCTTCTTATATCACTCCACCATTGAGACAAATGGTTAAGGTCTCTCATACAGCCACTCTGTGCAAATTAGAAAACAGTGCCCTTTTTTTTGGAATAGGTATGCAGCTCAGCTAAAAGGCTGAATATTGTGCAAATTACAGGCTAAATACTGTGCCAGTGATACAAAGGCACTTTCTGCAGGCACATTCAGCCTTGTTGGTGCATGGCATGGTGACCAGGTGCCATCTCTACCTCCAGGTTCTGGAAGGTACACAGCTTTAGAAACAGAGCAGCCACTGATTTCTAGCTCCACTTGACTGCAGTGACAACCACAGGGGTGGCTTTGGGCTGTTGATGGTCCTAACACCATTCCCTCCTGCCATCACCACCTTGTAGACGAGGCATTTACAGATCATGCCAGCAGAATGATTTTCTTTGATGACTGTAAACTGAGGGTCTATTTACCACTCATGGAGGGACCCAAGAGCAGACAAAGGTCTCCTTGCATTAGGCAGAATGGCAGCCCAGAAGCCATGGGCTATCAACCAACGTGCCTCCCCAGACACCAAAGTCACAGCCCTGGTCTCTCTCACCCAGCTCCACACACACATGCACACACACACATCTACAACTATACTCAGCATCTTACCTGAGCCACCTCTTCAAAGTCATCATGCCGCTTCTGCAGGGCTCGGGCCCGATGCAGGGATTTCCCAACCCCTGTGTGTTTGCTGAGAAAGGCCTCACCATGGTTTTCAATCCAGTCCAAAACCTGATCAGAGGAGGAAGACAGAAACAATGACTTTTGGGCAGAAGGAAAGACATGTGACAACATATGCGACTGCTAAAGTCCTGGAGTCCCCATCCCGATCAGAAGGCAGCAAGCAGTCCAGGTAGAAATATTCAATCACGGTAGATACAGGGGATTTCTTTACAGCCATGGGCAATACAACTGCCCCACCCTTAACTAAATTCAGCTCTTCCTTTTTTATCTTCATAATATCACCTCATTACTTTTTCAGTTTTCTCACCTTAAAATTCCTTTTTAAAGGTAAGCTACATAGACTATCAGGCACAGTTTATCAACCAACCAACCAAATAAATAAGGTCTTTGCACCCTTAAGGCCTTTAGTATCTGATTCTCTTGGGAAGCAGTGGCGACTGGATACTCTTCCAGGCTTAAGACCTAGTGATTTGACCTCAAGACATTTTCCTCAGTGTTTGGAGAAGCTGGAACAGAGGTGGCTGCAGCAGTAGAGACGTGAGTGAGGGGATGCTGAGAAAGTGAGAAAATATGTTGTCTCGAGGAGCACTTCACAAGGGGAGTGGAAACCCCTTAAAAATCTTGAAATGTAAGGAGGACCAAAGCCTTTAACATCCCTTTTGCATTTGCTCAGGTGGCCTAACAAAAATGTGGGAGAAAGGGAGCAGTTCATTTCTGTTGCTGAGGGGTTGGCGCTCAGTAAATCAGGCACCTACAATGACATCAGAATCATGCAGACTTACTAGTACCTGTTTCAAATCCGGCCCAAACTCGGCTGAACTCACTCTACTCGTACTATACTAAACTTTAACTGAGTATTTGATTAATGATGAATTAGCCTTCTCAGAATTTAAAAGGACTTTTGGGAAAATGACAGATGAACTAGGCCTGTTTAAAAGGGTGCTTTAATCCATTCCTCTGTTTTTTTCTACAGACTGCCCTATGGCAAGCAGATGGATAAAATCATCCAATAGCCAGCAGGCATGGGAGTTCCAGCTCTGCAGAATCCAGCCTTCGGCTTCACCCTCTCTGGCACCTGAGATAAATGAATGCCTGCAATTTGTGCAAAGTACAAAGCCTTCAAAGTCTTCAATGACAGTGTCACCAAGGCCACAACAAGATGGTATTGAATAACATAAACTGATGAACATATAGAAACATGAAACAGACTGTCAAACCTCAGAGAGAAGGCAGGGGAGTGGGGGGAGAGATCAACCAATGAACTCATGTGTATATGTATAACTCATGGACACAGACAATAGGGTGGTGAAGACCTGGGGGAGTGGGGGCATTGGTCAGGGTAGGAGAAGTCAATGGGGGGGAAAGGGGGACATATGTAATACTTTCAACGATAAAAATTAAAAGAAAAAAAGATGGTGTTAGTTCAGAGCAATGGACATGTGAATATATTAACATGTTTGTGAAGTGGTTTGACAAACAACCACTTAACAAAGGCAGAAGGTCAGGTAATTGTCCATTAAAATGGAAAAAAAAAAGGTTTTTTAAAAAATGCTTTTAAACATTGGATGTAAAGATTTTGGAGGCACATCTGTAAAAAGAAATCGCAGTAGTAAATGAACTGTATTTTTACCTTTTGCAAACACTGAAAGGCAGCATTGAAAGGAGCTCTAAATGTTCCTTTCTTAGAAGAAAGAAGAGCCTATGTTCCCTTAGAATTATGTATCATGAAATTTCAACAGTAGAAAAATCAGGAGAGTGTATTTTTACTTGACTTGCAACAATTTGATCCCACAATTCTCTATTATAAAGGGGAGTATGAGCACCAGCATGCAAGGTCAAGGATAAATAGCTCAAGTCTCAAAGTTTCCCATCACACAGTTTTATAATGTTTGTGCATATCTAAACTTTTATTAATCCCCTTTTGAGAACGAATTGAAGCTTGGGGATAATTTTTACATACAAAAGGGCTGTCTTGCAGCCGTTCATGAAGGCTTTGGAATTTATGACAGATTTTCAGATTACAATTTCTTTCTTAATTTAGCTTTGCGCAGTTAAGTACGACTTGCTTGTCTCGCACTGTTTTCATGAATTTTATTTTATTGCATTTCATTTTTTATCTCTAGCTTTAATAAAATTGGTTATTCTAAAGCACATTGGGTAAAGAAGAATGATTTTCATCCACTAGTTCGGAAATGGTGAGCTTTTTTACTCCCTGGGAGTGATTTAACAACTTTTAAACTTTATTAAAAAGCAATTTGTTTCCTGTTTAAGTTATCTTGCTTCCTTTAAAATGTCAACTTATTTTCAGTTAGTGACAGTTTACTTAATTAGCTCTACCTTAACCACTTAAAAATCTATTTACTTCCCATTTGAGAGGCTTTCACTTAGTTTAAACATAACTTTGATTGCTCTGTGATGTTACATTGCCTCTGTTTCATCCAACTCTGGCCATTAGAACTGAAGCTGTGGGGGAACCTGTGCAACCTCAACGAGATTCGAGAACTGCAGGGAAACCAATTCAATAGACAAAAAGGCAAGTGATTTAGGAAGTGAACAAAATTATTTCAGTAATACACAGACACCAAAAGAGTATCCAAGGATAGGTAAGCACAATTAATATATGAGTTATTGTGTAAAATGCCAATTTCTGACTGTTCTGTAACAAACGGTTCATTTAAAGCCAGCATGGTTTGATGCACACATTTGGACCACATGCTCTCTTAACCCTGAGTCCATGACCCCAACCCTGGGAGTACAATCCAGCCTCCCACACAGAATGGGCAGCAGAGAAAGGCACCTCTGAAAAGTAAATTAATGTGCAGCACTGGAAATCTGCACACCCCTCAGCTTCTGAACACCCAGACTTTGAACATCCCTGGTTGAAGAATAAATTGCATTTCTAGCCAAACCCTGGACCTACCAAAGTATAGGTACCTATCAAGATACCTCTTATTAGCTAGCTCTGTTTAAGTCATTCATCTACAATATATTTTTAAATATTCAATTACTAATTATAATCAGGATAGTGCAGAATGGTGGTTAATTATACCTAGTGATGGCTTTGAATGGGTATTTAAGTGTTCCCAATACAAAGTTTTTTATCTTTTTGTTTTCGTGTAAGGGCTCTTCAGGAAGCAGAGAAACACATGTGGATATGGAGATTCATACATTCAAACATATTTATTACTCTCATTGTGCCCTACATTGTGCCCTGGGTACAAGGACAGCCTGAATACAGTGTTAAACAAGGCAGGTGTGGCCCTCACTCCAGAAACTCAGCTATATAAGCTACAAGCACTAGACCCAAAGTCACACAATTCATCATTAATTGCAATGGTGAAAAGTGCCAACAGTCAGGAACCCCTAATTGGGGGGCCAGGGAAGGCCTCTCTGAAATAAGGTTGAGCTGAGATGTGAGAGCGAATAGGACTTATGCTCGGAATTAGAAAGATCAGCATGGCTTGAGTAGGAAGGAAGGAGGAAATGAGCCCAGAGAAGGCAGAAGCCAGATGGTGCTGATTCTGGTGTGTGGAGTCAGCTTCCAACATTCATGCTAAGAGCCACTGAAGGGCTGCAAGGAGGAGGAGACATTGTGGGATCTGTATTTAGAAGTTATGGTTCTGTCTGCTTTGTGGAGAGTCAGTTGGAAGACGACAAGAAGACAGAGGTGGGAAAACAGGAGGTTACTGCAGAAATCCTGACGAGACGATGGTGGCATAGATAGGGCCAATGGCAGTGTCTGTGGGAGATAGGCTTGAGTAATATTTAGGGGAAGGAATAGCCAGGATTTGGTGATTGGTTATAGGGGTGATGGAGAGGCAGGTGGAAGGTTGACCCCAGAGTCACTGGTGCAGAACCAAGTTACAAGGGACAGTACAGAAATGACAGGTTTTTCTTAATTTTTCTTTCAACTTTCATATTCATGCTGTGGTTTTGATAAATGACAGTTGTGTCTCTAAACTTGAGTGGAAGTAGCACCCAATGATAGTTGTCAATCTGCTTCTGGCAAGATGCACCCTTAGTTTCAAGGAAATAATTTTATACACTATGGTTTAAAAATAAATTATAAATTGTTGATATAGCTGGATCCTAATAATATACAAAAAATTAGGAACAAATCCATTTGAAGGACACAAATTTAGGCTTAAGTGAAATTAACCTGTGCACACTTGAAAGGGCATTTCACTGAGATATAGTTTTTGAGGGACCCCTTAACCTGACATGCAGACCTCTGTGGCCAGCCCCACCCCACTTTCAACCCCACCTCCAATAAGTTTCTTCCTCACCCCTAACCCTCAAAGCTACTCCTTACCTCCTGAGTTTTGCTGTCGCTGTGTTTAGCTTTACTTAAAATGTCCACATCTTGTTTCTCCCTATATCCACTTTCTAGGCTCCTTTCTACTCATCCTTTAAGCCCCATTTCAAAAATGTCTAGTTTTAGAAAGCGTTTTCTCTTTAATAATCCACCAGGCTGTGGTGCGGTCACTCATCTCCGATTCTGTCCAAACCACAATTATTGCCCATGGGCCTGTCTCTCCCACTAGCCTTCGACCTCCTCTGATTTCCAAACAGCATGGTACTCAGCACAGTGTGCTTTGCTTAAGACATGTTGAACTCAACTCAAACTCATCCCCCAACACACAACTTTGGGGTGAATATCTACAGCTCCACACTCCTATTGTTAACTCTATCTTAGTATCTCTCACAGTCTGCATTCCCAGTTCTCTCTCTCCATCTCCACCCTCTCCACTGCCCCTCTTGGCAGGTAGGTAGATCCTACCGGTGTATTTAGTTCTCATATTCTTTCATCTGCCCCTTCCCCCAGCAGCCCTGCCAGCACCACATATGCAGGAGATATTCAATGAATGTTTATAGCTATGAACTGTCAAGTGCAAACATGGTTGAGGCTACTGCCTGACTGTCTTGGGAGAAGTTGTGCCACCCATTCAGCAAGAGGTCTGACCTTCACCCTGTCATTGGGAACAATAGCCCGGGTAAGCATGGGATTCCTTGCCACTCCAGCAGACAGGCAGTCTTGTAAGCAACTT